CTTGGGCCAGTGAAGCAACGTCCTCCACAACTAGACTGAAGAACAAAAGGACAGCAACTTGTCTGTTCCCCTTCCCCCAATTCCCCAATAAAAAAATCTAAAAAAACAAAAACAAATAAGATCAGATAGGGTGAAAGTTCCGTGAATCCCCATAGGTAGGGACAACGATCACGTTCAGCAGGAAGCAGATACAGAAGAGGAGACCTTCGGTCCCTTAACTTCCCATAGAGATTTATGGTGATCATGCCTCTCAGGGGAAATGAGTCAGGCAGTTAGAGATAGGAATGGGGTCTCCAAACATTCCTGCACATTAGACAGGGCCTATAGAGAGTGACCATCCAGAGAACTCCCCCAAAACTCCCCTCTACGCCCAAATTTTTCCCTTATCTACCATAACCACTAACCACTATGAAGACACTAGAAGGCACAAACTACCCTAACTAGACTAGACCAGTCACTCGCACCTGTGCAGTAAAGGCTACAACGACCTCATCTCACCTTAGTCTCATTATACCATCATTATAATGTCATGCATATGCCTGAAAGTTCATTAATATCATTATAACAGACAGAATTCTTGGAGGGAACATGCCGCAGTCTAAAAAGATGAGGTAATAGCCTCTTGTCAATCACAGGTGTCAATCAAGTGGCCCCACAACCCGAAAGGACTAGTAACCCATTTTAGAAAAAAGAGATAAAACTACCAAGCTCTCCCTAGCCAGTTAGCCTGGGCCTTTGAGCTACTCATTTGTGCTGGGGCCCGCTCCTATCTCTTTGGAGTGTACTTTTGCTTTTAATAAACTGCTTTTTCATCACTGCCTTTTGGTGTCCCGCTCAGTTCTTTGTTCGGGATACCAAGAACCTCGATGGCGCCCAGAAGGATCTGTTCTCTAGTAGCAGATGGAGGAGACTCCTGAGACTGAAGACCCACGATTTCTGGATTTGGGGTACCCGCAGTTCCCACTAACCTGAGTTCCTGGTGGCCAGCAGATACACAGTATGGACAGGGAGCGCCCGTCCCAAGATAAGTTTCCACCCTGTCACCACGGAACCGTGGACTCCACGTTTCCAGAACCCGCAGCCCTTCCCTCCACGCCGCCTCCGCGGACTGGCAGCGAAGGCTCCGCGACAAAAGAGAGTGGGTGCGGTCCGCAGGTTCACAGCCTCGGTCCTTCCCGGACATGCCCATCTAGAAAGCAGCAGTTAGGTGGCCAAGCAGGTACCTCCCAAGCGGAGACCCGCCTCTTCCCTGGGGCTCCTATCAGCCGCCCCGAGCTAGGGTGGTAGCCCTCGCGCCCAACTCTCTCCAGACCCGGAGTCGCGCCACCGCAGCCGCCTCCTCCCCGGCGTTGACCACAGAGAGGGCTCCGCCCGCGGCAGCCTACCTGGCCACCTGGGAGTGGCATCCATCGGTGGATGCGGAGATCTAGCTCACGGCTGCAATGCTGAACCCGGGCGTTCCGGTCGGTCGACCTCTTCCTCCTCCCCTCCTTTGCCTGGTGTACCATCTGCCCGGTGTACTTGGAGCGCTGAATCCCGCCACGCCCCAATCGCTGGAATGGAGCCCGAAACCCGACCCGCCAGGGGAGGGAGTCCTCCGCCCCCAACTACGTCGTCTGGGTGGGGATGGAGAACCTGTTTGCCAGGCTGCTCCAGGAGCAGATGGCAAGCCTCCTCCAGTTCTCAGGGCCGCTCACCAGGGATTGCAGACCACCCCCATCCTCGCCCTGTTCGCCGCAAATTCGAGAGTCGAGGCCCCAGACTCCTTTGGGGGAGATCCTAGGTCTGGCGCCTAACTGTTGCTTTCTAGATGGGCACGTCCAGAAGGCAGCATCTCCCGAGGACGGAAATGAGAAACCAGAGTGGAAGAGTCCATCCTCCTTGCCTGTCACAGAACCCAGCCAGAGCCCCGCGCGGAAACCAAGGCCTCGGCTGTCCCGCAGATCTGAAGCTGTTTCCGTTTTCCAAGGCTCTTTCCCACTTCACCGACCCTAGCCTGGGCAGTCTGACCGTTGTCATGCAGTGAATCAAAGACTCTAGAATTTGACTGGGGTTTTCTTTTGACCATAATTCTTCCAGATGCAAAGCTGGGGACTGGGAGTCCTCAGATTGAGAAGTCCAGGCCTCCAGCGCCTTCCTCCTTCAGAATTAGTGTCCCATTTCTGCATTCGTTGGTTGAAGGAAATTGCCCACCCCTCATTCCCTCTGGGCTTTGGGTGTAACTTTCCCTTCCAGAGCCTGACTCACCTGCCAACTCTGAGTCAGAAACTCTCACTGCCCCCACCACCCCCCGGCTGTTCTGAGAGCATCAGTCTGGGATTGGAGTGGTAGCTTTGTTACTGGACAAAAGACCCTTCTCAACGAAGTGTCCAGGTTCTTGGTATCCTGAACAAAGAGTTGAGTGGGACACCAAAAGGCAGTGGTGAAAGAGCAGCTTATTAGAAGTGAAAGTACTCTCCAAAGAGATAAGAATGGCCGAAGCAAAAGCATGGCCAAAAGGCGACGACTGGCGAGGACTTGAAATTTTTATTTTCTTCTCTTCTAGAATGTGCTACTCCTTTCTAGATGTGGGGCCACTTGATTGGCACCTGTGATTGACAAGAGGCTATTGCTTCATCTTTTTAGACTGTTCATGTTCCTCCCAAGAATTCAGTCTGTTATAATGATATTAATGAACTTCCAGGCATATGCATGATATTGTAATGTGGTATAATGAGGCTAAGGTGAGATGAAGGTCATTGTAGCCTTTACTGCACAGGTGTGAGTGACTGGTCTAGTCTAGTAGGTAGTTTGTGTCTTCTAGTGTCTTCATAGTGGTTAGTTGTTATGATAATAAGGGAAAATTTTAGGCATAGAGGGGAGGGTTTGGGAGGTCTCTGCACATTCTCTGTGCAGGGATGTTTGGAGACCCCATTCCTATCTCTAACTGCCTGTCTCATTTCGTCCTGAGGGGCGTGATCCCCATAAATTTCTATGGGAAGTTAAGGGACAGGAGGTCTATTTTTCTATATCTGCTTCCTGTTGAATGTGGTCGTTGTCACTTCCTATCGGGGATTCAAGGAACTCTGGCCCTATCTGATCTTAGATGAGAGGAAGGGATCTCGAGATCCGCTTGGAAGACCACGATGGCCTCCTTGGTCAGGGTGTACTGGAAATCTTGCTGGGGCATCATCTGTATCCCGATGGCCCCTAGATGAGGAGAGATAGATTTTTGTTAATAGATTAAAAGCGCTGGTCCAAGGAGCAGGACTCAAAGCTACTGATGCAGGGTGAAAGTCTGTTTAGCTTCATAGGGTCTGTGACTTTTTCCTCTGGCTTTAACTGGTTATTTAGGTGGTGCTGTTTACCCAGGAGGTGGATCCAGAATGGCCTGGCGAGAATGGTGGGCCACAGTGATTACAATAAACAAGCTTGTATCACAGGCTTCTGGGTAATTACGTGAAGCAGGGGTGAGAGACATTCTATGATTTAGGCTAAGAGCAATCTTCAGTTAAGGATTAAGAAATTGATTTAAAAAGTGATTAAAACCAGGGACTGGAGAGCTAAGAAACTAGGAAAGAGGAGACTTAAAATTTCTATAATGGGGGCCAGCCTAGTGGCGCGTTGGTTAGGAGTTGGATTGAGATATCAGCTCTGAGTAGCAGGGCCCCAGTTCGGACCCCACATGAGGGCAAGTGATGCTGTGCCCTCTACAGCTAAGATGGTGAACAACAGCTCGACCTGGAGCTGGGCTGCCATGAGTCGCTGGCAATGGCATAGGCTGCAGTGGGGCTGGCCAGCAGCGGGCATGAGCCTTTGTGAGCTTTTGTGAGCCACCGTGAGTGGCCGTCCAATGGCTGGTGAGCGACTGCCTCACCCGGGAAGAGCGCAATGATAATACCAACGTGGGCCAGTGAAGCGACATCCTCCACAACTAGACTGAAGAACAAAAGGACAGCAACTTTTCTGTTCCCCTTCCGCAATTCCCCAACGCTGTTCCCCTCCCTCAATTTCCCAATAAAATCTTTTTTAAAAAATTCCTATAATGGGGGATCTCTCCTATATCATTTCCTTCCTGTCAGTAGCTGGGTCTAATATCTATGAGATTATTGGGAAGTTATGGAATTTTTGTCCTATTTGGTTCAGATATGAGAGCTGGATTTTTAAAATTAGTTTCGATAACCATCCCAGGCTCATCGGTTGGAATTGGCTTAAAGCCCTGCTGAAGTACCATTTGAAACTTATGGTTGGGCCAGCTGAGTGTCTCAGTTGATTAAGAGTTGGCTTAAGAGCGCAAGCTCTGAGCAACAGGGCCGCCGCCGATTTGATTCCCACATAGGCCAGTGATGCTGCGCCCGAGCTGAGCTGTCGCTGAACTGCCAACAGGTGGCAAGATGGCTCAGCTGGTGTAACAACAAGATTGCCT